TAATTTTTGCTTATTAGTACGGTTGAACTAGATAATCGAAGGTCAGAAGCAAAGACATTGGTTAATAGAATGGGATTAAATACATAAAGGATATTTGTGTTGTTTAACATTTAGTTATTGCAGGTTTGCGTCATATTCTGAGTTGCAGTATTTTTAATCATTTTGAGGAATACTGAATCTGTTTTTTTTGTGAGAGATTAATTAATGCATATTCATATTTATTTTAGAACTACATTAACATCTGATTTCTCTCAACATGGGGGCAGGAGAGCTGTCAATCAATAAATTGAAAAAAAAAAGTAACTTGCCTTATTTGAAAAAGTAACTCAGATATTCTCTTGTAAATTAAAAAGTAATGCGTTACTTTACTAGTTACTTGAAAAAAAGTAATCTGATTACGTAACTCGCGTTACTTGTAATGCGTTACCCCCAACACTGGTTATTTAGTCCAGAATAATTAACTTAATATTTATTTCATATTAAGGCTAATAGCCTATAACCTAATTTGCACTGTTCATTACTAAGCCGATTCATTTCTACAGCAACTGACTATTTTACTAAATTATTTTTCAAGGAAAATAATAAAATAACCTAGACTCAGATCAATATTTCATATTTATTTAACTGACAAGTAACCGTATAAGCGTGTTGATACACAGCCAGCTGGTCGTTATCACAAAATAAACCTCTTCATGGTGACATACAGTCCTGTCGGGGTTTTATTTTGCGATAATAAACGAATGACTGTGCATTATCGCATTCTTGAATTGTAGCCACTATGCGTTCGCATCAGAGTAAATCTAGGCTACAATAACGAGAATGATATGAGCTGGAAAAAAAGTTGAACGACGTTAAACGCCTGCTCGCGCTCGCACATGCGAATGACAGATTCACTTGCTTGCTTGTGAATTTCAGTTGCATATTTTCCTGTTTGAGGGTTATTATTTCTGTCTGGCAAACAGCAAGACATCACGCTTATGCCACTGATTCACTCACTCTAATCTCGAATATAGCGCCGAGTTTGCCAACAACTTCTCCATCGCCGCGTATTGCAATCGATCGATGTCAAATAATAAGTAAAGACTATTCCCAAACAGTCAATGCAAATGTTGTTCATCTTACCCGCGTGCACCGCAGAGGAAAAACACGCATCTCATCTGGAAAGATGTTTTTGCGTTGAAGCTGTTGCTGTATTTACATTTTAATTCGGTTCCCGGATCCCAGTGTACGGTGATGCTCGTCAGGCTACCATTTCTCTGACTAACATGACGATGACTGGGAAATCGCAACAGCTACATCCCACAAATGTGGGAGGGGGGAGAACAAAACACTGGTATATGATGATGATGATGATGATGATGCATGAATTAAAATGAATCACATTTATTAAATCAAACACTGTTATACAAGGGCCAGAGAGAGAGAAATGACCACTGCAGTGGACTTAAAAGTATTTGGACACTTGAGTCATACTTATGGATTATCATTGCATTAGATCAGGGCTTTCCAGACCCAGGGACCTCATATGTAAGTTGTGCTATCATTAAAATATTAATAAATTACATATTTGATTTTGATGTTCATGCAGGTTGATATAAATGTAATTAAAGGTTTAAATTATGTATGTTTTGCATATCTGGCATTAGACAGCAAACCCCGTGTCATTTATTTTTAAAGACAGACAGCACAAGCATGCTTTTTCAAGCAAAGCTTAAGTGTGAAATAATAAAACAAGACACCTATTTATGACGCCTGCTGTGAACGTGAAGAGAACTGACTTTGTACATCCACTTTAGCAACCAGATAAAAAATTGAGATACAACAACCAACCAGATAAAATGATGAAGAGAACTGAATTAGTAAAGAGAGTTCAGCCAAAAAAGAAAATTTGCTGAAAATGTGCTCACCCTCAAGTCATTCAAGATTAAGTTGAGTTTGTTTCTTCATCAGATTTGGAGAAATGTAGCATTGCATCAGTGTCTCAGCAATGGATGCTCTGCAGTGAATGGGTGCCGTCAGAATGAGAGTCCAAACAGCTGATAAAAACATCACAATAATCAAGATGATGTTAACTTCTCGAGATGTTAACTGATGGACTGGAGGGGTGTGGATTATTTGTGGATTATTGTGATGTTTTTATCAGCTGTTTGGACTCTCATTCTGACGGCACCCATTCACTGCAGAGCATCCATTGCTGAGACACTGATGCAATGCTACATTTCTCCAAATCTGATGAAGAAACAAACTCATCCTAATCTTGGATGGCCTGAGGCTGTATGAATGCTATACTGAATTCTAGTTATGCATTGTGCAGTGATGCATCATTTACTCAATCATGCGCAAAAGGGTAAAATGTGTGATCCATTGTGTGATCCATATGTAATAAAACTACACATTAACACTTCTCTGATGCATCTGTAATTACGAGCCATTTCTATTTTCTGTCCATTATATTATGCGACTAAAACAGAAACTGCTTCATATTCATATCACACATTCATATCATTGTGCACAGCATGAAATATGCCATTTCCCCGCGTGGGATTATGATTTGACTATTGTAGACTAGAGTCTCAGAGTATGAAGCTTTTTCATAGTGGTTGACTGATATGGATTTTTTTTAATGCTTGTGGCGATATCTAGAGGCACTAGTTCCTTTTGTTTTTATGTGCTTTTCGGAGGCAGGTTTATCTGAAATAGATTAGAGCGCAATAATAGACTGCCATGGAAAAAGTAAATGTGTATTAACCCTCTGGGGTCCGAGGGCGTTTTGGGGCCCTGGAGTAGTTTTGACATGCCCTGAAATCTGAGCTTTTTTCAGTTGCTTATAAACCTTTTAATGGCTAAAGTTTAATAACACTGTAATCAGCACAAACTGGGCTACAATAATATGTGAGCAGCATGTATGTATGTGATTGTGTTTTTGAGAAAACAACGTTTATGCGTGCTTAGTGAAAAACTACAATTTTAAAGTCACTGAAATAAGGCCATAAAACACCTGCAGAACATTTGTTCACAATACTTTTGAGAACTGGATCTTGAAGTCTAGAGTTTTTGCTTCAAAATGATGTGAAAATCATCATTCATCATCTCACTCATTCACAGAAAACAATATATTGATTAAAATTTTCTAAGACACTTTTTGTGTAGAAAAGGTATATGCGAGGAGGCGTGAATGATCATGAATAATGCTGTGATTCACACCTGAGAAGACAAAGGCCTGCATAATGAGCCTTTCAGTCAGGTGTGTAACTGAGAGGGAATTGCTACAAGAAAGAATAATAAATATATAATATAAATATATAAATACATTTATATATTTTTTGTTTGTAGTTTATTTAGAATATATATAACTATCACATAAAATAACTTGAGATTCACTTGCGAGTGCAGTTAAACATTTTATTAGGGGGGAAAAAAACACAAAAGTCATGACGTCATGGGTGCAATATCCAAAACAGGGCAGGAAACTTGAACAACATTTTGAAGTGACTCATGGGAGTGTGTGCATCACATGGTCTTAGCTGTGGTCCAGGTTCCTGTGCAGGCAGGAATATCAGAGCCTGTGGAACATGTCAACATGAGTCTCTGTTTTCCATGACTGAGTGGGCTGCTCTGCTTTGGCTCTCTTTGCAACAGGTTCTTTTACACTGTTATTCTCACATCTGAAATAAAAAAAAAGTAAGCATGCTGTTTACACAAACTACATTATTAACATTATTGTGATGTTCACTGATACTAGTACTAATTTATTGAAACAAAGAACACAATTACCACATAGCAAACATATTTTACCATACAGCAAATAAATCAAATGAAAGTAACATCTGTAAAATAGTGAATGCACACTTACTTTAATATTCTGAATGGAGCTGAAAACTGAACGAGCGTACCCTTCCTGTGTGAGATGCAGTTTAAGGCAAGAGTGGTGTTCACAGTCCTAAAATAATTTATAATTTAAGTATCATGTCACTGAAGACTGGAGTAATGATGCTGAAAATTCAGTTTTTCATCACAGGAATAAATTACATTTTCAAATATATTATAGTAGAAAACAGACATATTAAATTATATTAGACATATTATGCCCCTTTTAGTTTACGTTAAAAACACACGAGTTGATCTAATGAAATGTGTTTATGCGGTTTAAGGTTAAAAAAACACATTATTTTCCACATACTGTACATTATTGTTTCTCCTCTATGCCCCGCCTTTCTGAAACACATCGATTTTTACAAAACTCATCGGTCTGAAAAGTGAGGTGTGCTCTGATTGGCCTTTGGAAGACCAAACAAAATAGTTTCACTTTCACAACTAAACACACAGCGTCTTCACGACATGGCGGCGGCAGTGGCAGCAACAATAAAGTTACTCCTTTTTTCTTTGCGTGAACATTTGGGCGGCGTTATGCAAATCTTCCCACATTGTGACGTAGATATGTGGGGGCGTGTTAGAACGAGGCGTTTAGGAGGGCGTGGACGAGTCTTAACTTTTATAAAGAATAACTCTTTGGATTTGAGACTTTAGTCTTTGCAACTTTACAGATCTTCTTTATGCACCAAGAGCTTGTAACACTCCAAAGAGAAAGGAAAACTTGAAATCGCATCATATGACCCCTTTAAATAAAGCATAATGTACAGGTTTACTTGCTACTAAGTAACTCAAACAAAACTCATTCACACTCTTTCAAAGATTTCACGTCACTGGTGAACTTGTTCCCCTCAAAGCGCTTGTTGTATCAACTTTGTACCTTGTAAACATGACTTTGTTTCCAGGCAGACTGATAAAAAATTGATAATAAGAAGAAAAACAAGATGTAGACAGAGTTCATGAGTATAACGTCTTTTAGTAATGGATTTAATGCTGATATGTAGAGAGAGTAGAGCTGCTAATGGCGATATATACATAATAAAATAAATAATGGCAAATGTGCTGTGCACAAAATTGCCAAAATCAAATGAACATTTAGGCAATGTGTACTCAAAATTCATTAAAAATGTTGGCTGTCGGGAGATTTTGGAATTGATACAAGAAAAAAAAAAACACTTTTATCAATCAGCCAAGTCAATTATTGGCATCATTTATAATCCCAAACTGGTGTGCATCTTACTGCTTTTTAGTGCAGAAAAGTTTGTAATGGGTGAAAAGAATATATTATATTATGCTTGTCCTTCAGGAAGAATCATGCTAATAACTTGTAATAGTTAGGGTTGGGGTTTATGCAAATATGGAAACACAGCAATGTTTACTTGCAAATCTTTACAGGTGTCAGCTTCTAAGATTTGTTAGAGAGCAAGTCTCACCGGAGAAAGCACAGAGATCACACTTGTGTAGGCTGTTTTATATAAATGTGCGAGTATATATAAATAAATATATATATTTTTCATTTTCAGTCTCTCGAGTATCAGGCGTTTGTGCTGCTGAACCATCTGCGGTCCTTTACATCTGTGCAGCATCAACAGCAATCACTGTCTCTGTGGGGCTCCACCTGTAGCCACTGTCACATGGCCACGCTTTTACCCCATTTCTTTCCATTTTTTTTGCTGTTATTGCAACATAAAAATAAACTGCTCCTGTATTTTTTTTTTTTTCAAAACAGCCACCAAATCCTAAAATCAGTCAAACAGAGAATGAAGTGCACAATGGCTCAAAACAGAACATAATCTAACCCAAAAACATAATATTTAGGTCCAAATTTATGCATTTGGATTACACATTTTAGCCAAAACAAACTAATAAACTTGTGATGCATATTTGTCAGTCACACATAAATGAAACAGGTAAGATTTCTGCACTTTAAAAAATCATATCAATATCAATAAATGGCACAGTTTATTATTAATTATTTGCATCTACTTGATTTTAGTTAAATAATAATAGTTTCAAAATAAATGTATTCAAATAACTTAAAATTAGCTTAAATCTGTTCATTGTGAAAACAATTACATTTAGTCAGCTAAAAAGTATGAAAATATGCTGAGGAACATGCAAAATTAACTAATAAAATGTGTACCATGATTGCAGTGTACGTCATTTTGGATAAAACTGTCTGCCAAATGCATAAATGCAAATGTAAATACAAATTAGACCTATATACAGTGTGTGTGTGTGTGTGTATACAGTACACACACACACACACACACACACACACACACACATAGACACACACAGACACACACACACACACACTGTGTGTATAGATAGATATATGCAATAGAATAAACTCATGTCTTGATCAGAGTGTGGAGGTGGATGACAGCCTGATGCTACTGAATCTGACACTCACGTCGTTCCTCATATGAAAAGCATCTTGTTCTTAGTCACAATGAGAAAGCAACACACACACACACACACACACACACACACACACATAGACACACACAGACACACACACACACACACACTGTGTGTTTAGATAGATAGCTGCACTAGAATAAACTCATGTCTTGATCAGAGTGTGGAGGTGGATGACAGCCTGATGCTACTGAATCTGACACTCACGTCGTTCCTCATATGAAAAGCATCTTGTTCTTAGTCACAATGAGAAAGCAATTAGGGGCATCTCCAAATCTGGAGTGCAGAGGGACTGAATAATGAGAGCAGAAAAACACAACAACAACAAAGGCATGAATTACATCCAAGGACATGAAACTGCGTAAGCCAGCAATTGCGTGTATTCAATTTTTGTCCTTTGACAAGGCCGTGCCTTCAAATGGTTGTACAGAAAAATAGAAAAGAAAATGTTTATATTAACATTTTTCCCATTTACACGTATGAATAGTCCCACAAACATGACATTTAGTTTACTTGCTAATAACTCCCTCAAACAAAAATGGCCAGAGGGTAAGTACATTTTCAGCATATTTTCATTTTTGAGTAAACTATTCCTTTAAATTGGTCAGCTTACACATTCAAATTGAAAAAGTCCATCTCCTATCGTCTCTCACATCAAAATCAAGCCACATATTTGTTTAGAGCTGTTTTGGCTTGTAAACGGTGCTTGATCTGTGCAGATTTCTCTCCTGATTCAGACCAAAACACTTTTTGACTGGAGGAAGCGTTATTATGGATTATGAACTCATATTTTAACTGGAAGCAACGGTTTGAAGTTAAAAACATCTTAATGATGGATTTGTTTCTTACGAATATGCTACTTTTGTCTTCTCAAGACATTAATCGATGGACTGGAGTGGTGTGGATTACTTGTGGATTATTGTGATGTTTTTATCAGCTCTCATTCTGACGGCACCCATTCACTGCAATGGATCCGTTGTTGCTGATTGGATCTGAACTGTCTATTTCTGCCAGCTCTAGCCAGTTTTGCGTTCAACATGAATGAGCCAGTCAGTGAAGCGACTGTGGGCGGTCCGTGCCGTCACTAGGCTTTCCTGGGCAAGTCTTCTATGACACCGCACACATTTACATTTCTAACACTTCAGAGAACAATGCTTTCCAGCTGCCGCAGACACCCGAAGATGACTGAAAATGAGAGGTGAGTCATAATTGTTGGTCATTAGGTCCGAACGCACAAAACATTCAACTCCAATCATCCTCAAAGCCAATCAGTAAAGATTTATTTTGTTCAGAGCATAAAAGGATGTGACAATGGGCTCTAGGCTTGTTTGTCCAAGTGCATGCACATTGGGGAAAAAAAGGTCGGTGATCTGTAGCTTCTTAGACGATGTGTGTAATTAATGATGAAAGAGACTTGCATTGTTACATGTATTACACACTATTTCAGTCTTTCTATTTCAAAACTGTTACTTGCAGTTTCTTTGTAATTATTTGATAAAGTTACTAGCAATTTCTAGTTTTTAGCAAAATACTAGGTTTTTTTTCAGTGTTTTTAAGGCTTCCCACACCACCAAGTTTCACAAACAGCAATTTCCAGCTGATAAGCATAACTAGAAAAAAAATATTTGAAAGCCTCTAAGTGCTGTTTGAAATTTTCTTATAAATTAAGCATTTTTCTCAGGCTCCTATGTGTAGGTTCAGTAAATTCATTAAAGTGAAATAGCTGAACATAAACATAGGAGCCAGAGAAAACATACTAATTTTAGAAGAAAATTTCAGATGGCACTTAGAGGCTTTTGCATCTGAACTCTTCATTTTCACAACAAATCCCCTTATATTACCATGCTTTCTATGATTGTTATGTGTTTTGAAGACTTCAACTGCACATTCAGTGTTCAGACTTACAAAAACACAAAGAGAAAGGAGCAACAACAACAACAACAAAACACTATTCCATGCTTCTAATAGACTTTTATATTGCATACTTGGATATTATTTTGACACAAGTCGTATCTCATTTGAGGCTGCACTACTGAAATGTTGACTAGGTGTTTTTTTTTCCCTAAAATGGGTCATGTCTGCAAAAAAAACAATGAGACACGGCAGCGATGTCCTCGCCTCTGCCTCACAATATCTCCTCCTCACAATATCTACTAAATAAATGACAGGAGATTTAAAAATAGGCCATTACGTTCCTTATACCATCAGTATATTTATTCGGCAGCAATAAAGCTAATCTGAAATGCGTGAGATGTGTGAGCTCCCTCTGTTGGCCGAATAAGATTAAAACCTCCAGGATTCAGATGGACTCTACATTCAACACAATCAAGGGTGTAGAGTTGAGTAGAGATGCTATGACATGTCCCTACCAATATCCAGCGACTACTAAATTGTCCTTAGCAATAATTTTGATCAAACAATTAAATATATGTGTATGTAACCACTGCTGTTGTAATTTCTGACGCATCTGAAATAGGTTATAAAATTGATATTATCTGAGAAGTTAAAGATATACACTAGAAAACGGTTCACTTTCAATGAAGCACATTTAATACATGAGCGGAGTAAGAACATATGAGAGCCCAAGTGTTTCAAACATACGAGCACAGTTCAGCTGAATGATAAAGTTTACCCTCTTTAACTTTATGTTGTGCTGCTGTTTTGTGTTCATCTGCTTCTCCCATTTGCTCTTTCTACATTGACTACATATAGACTAATACAATCAATTACAACAATAATTTCTCAAATATTCATTACAATATGATAAATTGAACATTCCCTGGTATGAGAGACTGGATGCTCTCAACTGATTTTCTATAGAACTGTCAGCAACTGAACTGTGGTGGTCAAACTATTTAAACTAAAGTGAATTAAGCTAAAAACTCAATCATAATGCACAATGTTTCCATGTATTTTCATGTGCAGCTCGTCATATCAATGGAGTGTTTTCACTGTTAGAAGCCTAAAGCCGTTACCTCACCTCAAGTGTTTCAAACATACGAGCACAGTTCAGCTGAATGATAAAGTTTACCCTCTTTAACTTTATGTTGTGCTGCTGTTTTGTGTTCATCTGCTTCTCCCATTTGCTCTTTCTACATTGACTACATATAGACTAATACAATCAATTACAACAATAATTTCTCAAATATTCATTACAATATGATAAATTGAACATTCCCTGGTATGAGAGACTGGATGCTCTCAACTGATTTTCTATAGAACTGTCAGCAACTGAACTGTGGTGGTCAAACTATTTAAACTAAAGTGAATTAAGCTAGAAACTCAATCATAATGCACAATGTTTCCATGTATTTTCATGTGCGGCTCGTCATATCAATGGAGTGTTTTCACTGTTAGAAGCCTAAACCAGTTACCTCACCTCAATATGTTCTTAGATTTGTTTTCGGATGTTATCTTTGGAATAAAAAATAGATATTTTCTTTGTAAACATCATAGGCCTACTTTTCATGCTTTCAATGTGGAACTAAAGTGAATTAAGCTAAAAACTCAATCATAATGCACAATGTTTCCATGTATTTTCATGTGCAGCTCGTCATATCAATGGAGTGTTTTCACTGTTAGAAGCCTAAAGCCGTTACCTCACCTCAATATGTTCTTAGATTTGTTTTCGGATGTTACCTTTGGAATAAAAAATAGATATTTTCTTTGTAAACATCATAGGCCTACTTTTCATGCTTTCAATGTGGAACTAGCCACAGCTAGATAGACCTTCTTCTCAAACCTTATAAATAGTAACATAAACAACACTCGCACTCTTTTTGCTGCTGTTGAGAGACTAACAAGTCAGATTCACAGTCGAATGCTCTCCGACAGCAAATGCAATGAGTTTGCTTGCTTCTTTTCTGAGAAGATCAATTATATCAGGAAGGCGATTAGCACATCCTCAAGTTATGCAAGTTACTATGTCTGTTTTTGAAGCAATTGATAGCAAAATTTTGGAAGAAATAGTACAGCACCTTAAATCGTCAACCTGCTATCTTGACACACTTCACACATCTTTTTTCAAAAGTGTGCTTAATACTGTTGCCAACTCTCGCGAGACAAATAAGCAACCGCAGCATCAAAAACAAGCCCAATATTTTTCGATATTTTATTATCATCAATATTATTTATTATCAATTATTTATTACCAATAAATGAGCCCGCAACATATTAAACTGAAACTATCCTTTTATCTGAAAATCTACCTTATAAAGGAAAAAAGTCATCCCTCTCCTCTACGTCTACTATCATCGCTTGGATTACAGTGTCACCCTCATTGAAGAAAAATCACCTTCAAAAAGAAGGCGTGTGCGGAGAGGGCAGAATATTTGACAAATT